TCATGGTCTATCAAAATAAATCATGGATTGCCATCGGTAAGCGTGCATCATAGTCGGTCAGCTTAAATCATGGTCTATCAACATGAATCATGATTTGTCACTATGAATTATGGTTGTACAGCGTAAATCATGGTATATCAACATGAATCATGGACAAGATTAAAACATTGAAGGTAGAGATACTGCAATGTAGGAAAAATCTATACGATATTCATTAGTTGGGAATATCTGATACCGGATTACATATTTTGTGTGTTAATTGTTTAATTCCTTCTTTAATGTTGAGATGGCCTGGATAGATAACAGTTGTAAAACAATATTTATATATCGCCGTTTTACACATTTATAAAATTTATAACTGCGGTATTTGTAGATAACTATACAAGTATTACTAAAGTGTATGCCAGAATTTCAGACAGTGTAGACCTATATTTGGAACCCATATCTTTAGTGCAATAATTTATATACAAATATTTTAGAATTTTAAACATCTTTCTACTTCAATGTATTCGTAGTGATCAAGTCTGATTTTGACAATTTATCCATAGGTTTGAGCCGGGTGACTGATATTACTATATTTCAGCTGGGTGAATGATATAAGTATGTTTTAGTTTAATGACTGATAATAAAAGCTTTTACCTCGGTGACTGATATTGAAAGGGTTAAGCTGGGTAACTGATATTGATAGGTTTTAGCTGGGTGGCTGATATTGATAGGTTTTAGCTGGGTGACTGATATTAGTATGTTTTAGCTGGGTGACTGATATTGATATGTTTTAGCTGGGTGACAGATATTGATAGGTTTTAGATGGGTGACAGATATTGATATGTTTTAGCTGGGTGACAGATATTGATAGGTTATTGCTGTGTGACTGATATTGATATGTTTTAGCTGGGTGACTGATATTGCTATGTTTTAGCTGGGTGACAGATATTGATAGGTTTGAGCTGGGTGGCTGATATTGATAGGTTTTATCTGGGAAACTGATATTGATAGCTTTTAGCTGGGTGACTGATATTGATAGGTTTTAGATGGGTGACTGATATTGATAGGTTTTGGCTGGGTGACTGATATTGATATGTTTTAGCTGGGTGACAGATATTGATAGGTTTTGAGCTGGGTGGCTGATATTGATAGGTTTTATCTAGGTGACTGATATTGATATGTTTTAGCTGGGTGACACATATTGATAGGTTTGAGCTGGGTGGCTGATATTGATATGTTTTATCTGGGTGACTGATATTGCTATGTTTTAGCTGGGTGACAGATATTGATAGGTTTTAGATGGATGACAGATATTGATATGTTTTAGCTTGGTGACTGATATTGCTATGTTTTAGCTGGGTGACAGATATTGATAGGTTTGAGCTGGGTGGCTGATATTGATAGGTTTTATCTGGGTGACTGATATTGCTATGTTTTAGCTGGGTGACAGATATTGATAGGTTTTAGCTGGGTGACTGATATTGATATGTTTTAGCTGGGTGACTGATATTGCTATGTTTTAGCTGGGTGACAGATATTGATAGGTTTGAGCTGGGTGGCTGATATTGATAGGTTTTATCTGGGAAACTGATATTGATAGCTTTTTAGCTGGGTGACTGATATTGATAGGTTTTAGATGGGTGACTGATATTTGATAGGTTTTGGCTGGGTGACTGATATTGATATGTTTTAGCTGGGTGACAGATATTGATAGGTTTTGAGCTGGGTGGCTGATATTGATTGGTTGTATCCGGGTGACTGATATTGCTATGTTTTAGCTGGGTGACTGATATTGATAGGTTTTAGCTGGGTGACAGATACTGATATGTTTTAGCTGGGGGTGACAGATATTGATAGGTTATTGCTGTGTGACTGATATTGATATGTTTTAGCTGGGTGACTGATATTGCTATGTTTTAGCTGGGTGACAGATATTGATAGGTTTGAGCTGGGTGGCTGATATTGATAGGTTTTTATCTGGGAAACTGATATTGATAGCTTTTAGCTGGGTGACTGATATTGATAGGTTTTAGATGGGTGACTGATATTGATAGGTTTTGGCTGAGTGACAGATATTGATAGGTTTTAGCTGGGTGGCTGATGTTGATAGGTTATTGCTGTGTGACTGATATTGATATGTTTTAGCTGGGGGACTGATATTGATATGTTTAAGCTGGGTGACTGATATTGATAGGTTTGAGCTGGGTGACTGATATTGATATGTTTTAGCTGGGTGACTGATATCGATAGGTTTTAGCTTGGTGACTGATACTGATAGGTTTTATATGGGTGACTGATATAAGTATGTTTCAGCTGGGTGACTGATAATGAAAGGTTTGAGCTGGGTGACTGATATTGATATGTTTTAGCTCCACCCCATTGGAAATAAGCCTTCGGGCTTTCATGGGCAATCCGAGGTTATTGCACACTACTCTATACATGTTTCCATTTACGTCCTTACATTTTATTAAACTAGTAAATTGATATCTAGTCATAGGAAAGAAAGAGTTTTAGATTTTGTTTTTATTTATAATATTTTATTATTTAATGAGCCGTCTGTGATATTTATGTCTGACAAACTTCCGAAATATTTTATTACAATTGTGTCATCAGTTTTATATAAAATGCTTAAGTGTTTGTTTTATGTATACATGTATGTGTGTTTTAACCTGAATAAATATCTATCTATCTATCTATCTTAGCTGGGTGACTGATATTGATAGGTTTTAGCTGGATGACTGATATTGATATGTTTTAGCTGGGTGACTGATATTGAAAGGTTTTAGCTGGGTGACTGATATTTATATGTTTTAGCTGGGTGACTGATATTGATATGTTTTAGCTGAGTGACAGATATTGATAGGTTTTAGCTGGGTGGCTGATGTTGATAGGTTATTGCTGTGTGACTGATATTGATATGTTTTAGCTGGGTGACTGATATTGCTATGTTTTAGCTGGGTGACAGATATTGATAGGTTTGAGCTGGGTGGCTGATATTGATAGGTTTTATCTGGGAAACTGATATTGATAGCTTTTAGCTAGGTGACTGATATTGATAGGTTTTAGATGGGTGACTGATATTTATATGTTTCAGCTGGGTGACTGATATTGATAGCTTTTAGTTGGTTGACTGATATTGATATGTATTAGCTGTGTGACTGATATTTATATGTTTTAGGTGGGTGACTGATATTGAAAGGTTTTAGCTGGGTGACTGATATTGATATGTTTTAGCTGGGTGACTGATATTGATAGGTTTTAGCTGGATGACTGATATTGATATGTTTTAGCTGGGTGACTGATATTGAAAGGTTTTAGCTGGGTGACTGATATTGATAGGTTTTAGCTGGGTGACTGATATTGATAGGTTTTAGCTGGATGACTGATATAAGTATGTTTTAGTTTAATGACTGATATTGATAGGTTTTAGCTGGATTACTGATATAAGTATGTTTTAGCTTGGTGACTGATATTGATAGGTTTAAGCTGGTTGAATTATATTGATATGTTTTAGCTGGGTGACTGATGTAAATAGATTTTAGCTGGGTGACTGATATTGATATGTTTTAGCTGGGTGACTGATATTGATATGTTTTAGCTGGATGACTGATTTAAGTATGTTTTAGCTGGGTGACTGATATTGATAGGTTTTAGGTGGGTGACTGATATTTATATGCTTTAGTTGGGTGACTGATATTGATATGTTTTAGCTGGGTGACTGATATTGATAGGTTTTAGTTGGGTGACTTATTTTGATATGTTTTTGCTGGGTGACTAATATTGATATTTTTTTGCTGTGTGACTGATATTGATATGTTTTTGCTGTGTGACTGATATTGATAGATTTTAGGTGGGTGACTGTTATTGATATGTTTAAGCCGGGTGACTGATATTGATATGTTTTTGCTGGGTGACTGATATTGATTGGTTTTAGCTGGGCGACTGATATTGATAGGTTTTAGCTGGGTGACTGATATTGATAGGTTTTAACTGGGTGACTGATATTGATAGGTTTAGCTGGGTGACTGATATTGATAAATTTAACCTGGGTGACTCATATTGATAAGTTTTAGCTGGGTGACTGATATTGATTAGGTTTTAGCTGGGTAACTGATATTGATAGGTTTAAGCTGGGTGATTTATATTGATAGGTTTTAGCTGGGTGAATGATGTTGATATGTTTTAGCTGAGTGAGTGATATTGGTATTTTAGCTTGTTAACTGACAACTAGGTGAATGATATTTATAGGTATTAGCTGGGTGGTTGAAAGTTCAACGTGTCATGTAACATTGAAATATTCCCTATCACTGCTGTGATTTTGCATCTCGCGTATTTTCTTGCATCAAATAAGAGATTTTAAGATTTCCTGTTTCACATTTCAATGACCAAGTGACCTTACTATGTCGACGTGACTTAACATAGCTACAATTTATTTCACAAATTTAATGCCTAGAATGCTATGATTTATTAGTTACCGGTTCATATTATTTGAATTGCTTTTCTTTTCAGGATGAGAGGATATAAAACAATCAGAGCGATTTTCTATGTAGTGACGGGTCTATTCCTTGTTTACAACGTTATTATTTCAATACAGGGAAATAACCTTGAAACGAGTTTTAGAACTCGAACTGAATGGATTAACTCCCCTATTAAAAATTTAACAAGGAAATTGCAAGTGCCAGGAAGCATATCTCGGCTACTAGCGGATAATTTATATCATTCTAAAAATAGCTACCTGGGACCAGAACGTTTCAACGATAGTACCATACATGTATATAAGAATTTATCTTTAGCTATATCGGTAATACATAATAAAACAAGAACATTTAATGATTCTATAGAAAGTTACAAGAAGTTAAACAAAGCAGTTGAAAATGAAGTTAATTCGTTTAGTGATAAAGCGGCTAGTGAAACAGATCCTGATATACATGCTGGCACGCGCAGTTTCAGCAGACATTTATCGTCTGGTAAAGCAGATGACGTCACAAATAAAGCACCGGAAATGACCAAAGAGAATGATAAATAAAGATAATAAATTTGATATAACCGATTTAGACGACCATATACATTTTAATATACAAAGTGAAGAGAAAAAACAAGACGTACACGTTAAGCAGAAATCTGCCAGAGAATTATATAAATGGAATGGACAGTATGACACGAAACTGACGGATAGTCCAGAATACCGAAAGACTATTTATGACACATTTAAACGACCAAATATGAATGCGGGGATAGATTGTTACAAGCTAGTGGAAAATGATGTAATTGAAATTGCCAAAGCTAAACAGATTATGAACCATTTTCCAAGACGTGGTATCGACGTCGATAAATATGCAAGAACGTATGACTGTGTAAATTTTCGAGGAGGTCGTGGATACATAGAACATCCTTTGTCACAAATGGAGCTAGACTTTCCGCTCGCGTTCGGAATTACGGCGTACAGAGACGTGGAGCAAGTTGAAAGGTTATTACGTTCTATTTATAGACCACATAATTTTATCTGTCTACATTTGGATTCTAAAATAAAGCAGCTTGAACGACGGGCATTTGAAAGGATTGTAGCGTGTTTGGATAATGTGTTTATTGCAGACAGATCTCTTAATGTCACGTGGGGTGAATTCTCAGTTCTGGAAGCCGAACTTCTGTGTATGGAAAAGTTGATAAAACACAAGAAATGGAAATATTATATAAATCTGACGGGTCAAGAGTTTCCTCTGAAAACAAACCGTGAACTAGTTTCCATTTTGAATGCTCTAGATGGCGCAAATGTCGTCGATGGAACGTGGATAAGGTAAGAAAAATAGTGTCACAAAAACGTTTTTCAAAACATGGTATCATACACAATTCTTTTTAAAATGACTATTATATCCTTTGGTGGTTAATTAACAGGTAGTAAATTGATAATATACTCAAGAATTTTAAACGTAAGACAGTGGAACAAACTTAGGTAAAAAGGTCGAAAAAAATGTTAGTAATTGTTTTTTGTAACGGAAAATCGTGCAGATTCAGTTTTAAAATAAGAAATAAGATCTATTGAGTCCGAGGCTCATAAAATATGCGCTTACAACCGCCATATGATATAACCTTTCCAAAACCATTATTACTTAAAATATATGAGTATTTGGAGATTTTTATTGTAAGAGGAATAAAATACACGTGATATTGGGTGTTTAATTTGAAAAGAAAACAAATCCATTGCTTTACAATGAATAGAATAGAATAGTAGGATAGAATAGAATTAATTAGAAAGAATAAAATAGACTGGAATTGAACAGAACAGAATAGAATAGAATATATTTAGATAGAATATAATTAAATAGAATATAATTAAATAGAATAGAACAGACCTTTATTCACTCAAATCCTTTTTCAGTTACAGTATTCATATTCAACGCATTTATGTGACATAATATGTTAGTGTTGTCTATTTTATATATGATATGAGTGAATACTATCTATATTCTGATGGAAGTAAAAATTGTGGAAATGCAACTTATGAACATTATTTCTCTTTGTCCCAATTAAACAATTTAAATTAATTGGTGCATTTTCTAGGAGTGTATACCTGTATCGTTGATTTCATCGCTAAACATGTTCTTATTGTATTGTTTATTAAGCTAGGTAACAGTAAAAAAAACAATAAGAACATGTTTAGCGATCATATCAACGATTAACCTACAAACACTTATACTGGAGATAAAGATAAGAATTCATATGAATATTCAAATGAATTTTAGCCACAAACAAGATTCAATGTCATTGGGTAAGCAAATAGACTTAATTATAATAATACTCATTACAGGGCCACCATCAGATATTTTTACCGCTGGACGATAGCCGGCAAACCACCACCACATAAAATCCGGCCAATCAAAGGGTCAGTACATGTAGCTGTAAACAGACATTTTGTTCACTTTGCTCTTTACAATCAAATCGCTCTAGACTTCCTGGAATGGCTAAAGAAAACTCAAATACCAGACGAGACTTTTTTCGCTTCATTGAATCACAATCCGCATCTTGGAATAAATGGTTCATTTTTAGGTAGGTGGCGCTGTAATCGCGGTTTTGTGTTTTGTTCTTGCATTATAAGACACATTGTCACTAAAGAGTACCTGGTTGAAATTGTATGTTCGAGATTATCTTAAATCGCTGTGAATAAATGAAATGGGAAAATAGTTTTACGGCATAGATATGTTAGTGGTTCTACGTTATATGATTTTAATCAGATGACATTTTCGCTATTATTTATTATTAGTTATATATCTATATTAATTTATTCAAAATAATGCATTAACTTGAATGAATATCTAAGTTTATCCATATTTCAACATAACTATATTTTATCCTTTCTGTTGTAGTATATTAACAAGAGCCTTAAAGCTGCACGCCTCCAGATAAGCCAAAATATTTCAAGAAAATCAATATTGGGAAAAATGCACTAAAATTGTAACAAAAGTATAAACATTCAAGAACCAAGTGATATTTTATATGTTATTAGCGGTTTCAGACTAGTTTGCAGTATCTTAGTCACCATATTTATTTTGAGTTACTAACGCAGTAAGGGCTGTTTTGCATATGTTGACCACCTTTTGGTTATTGTTTCGGATTGTAAGTGCCTATTGCAAAATGTTTTTAGTATATTTGTCCACCTCACAATATATTTCTTTTAAATACATTTACAAAATTTCATGAAAATTAGCATGAATCTGGAGGCGTGCTGCTTTAAAATATTAGCATTTATCCTTAGTTAATCATGCATTATTATTGTTTCTTTTCAAAGGCGACGCTGAAGAATACCCACTCAAACCGTCACTAATGCGATATAAAAATTGGGAGTATGGTCATTCTGTGTATGTGAGAGGTTGTGCTGGGAAATATGTCCGCAATGTCTGTGTTTTGGGTGTAGGTGATCTAAATAGAGCCTACAACGACATCGGACTATTCGCAAATAAATTCAACCTGGACTACGAGTTCCTGGCTCTAGACTGCTTAGAAGAAGTTATGTATAAGAAAACATGGGACCAGTATGTTGATGATATACAAATAGATACAAACTACTACAAACGCTTGGATTATGTGAAAAAGAAGTTGTTTGTGCCGCCAACTATGACATCGAATGAAACGCTATCTAAAAGATGAAAAGTGTCTGTATACTGATATTATGTAATATTTATTATAAAAAAGGCGGGTTAAGTGATATTGAGAGAGAAAAAAGAAATGACGTAAATCAGGAAGTATTGTGTTCAAAAACAAATTCATATAGGACTGCCCATTCGAGACAAACTTTGTCAACTAACCGTGTTATACTATATAAATTCCTTAACCCTCTAGACTAAGCTCGTAAGGAGAATTGACCTGGGTATCAGTGTATTAACACGGTAATATCGGCAATTATGGGATGGTTTTGATTTTTGAATAAATACAAAACAAAATATTATGCTTCAAGTGATTTGGTCTATAACGGAAAGTCTGTATTACAAATTTTATTCAAATTTACGTTGATAGTATTCTTTTTGATGACTATATCAATTTATATAGCCATCTTTTTTTGTAATTAATAAGGTAGTCGGGTTGTAGCATATGGGGAGGGTGGTCATTATGGTCTTTGACACACGCCGAATACCTGTGGGTATATCAGTAACATGTGATTGAGAAAAAAAGCCTGTAATATTAAAGGAAGCAATTGTGAAGTTAGTTTATTGTCTTTCATTATACATAATAGTAAACAAGTATATGTTATACAAATTATATTTATTGCACATGAATATTTATATATTTATATAGTGTAGAAATATGTGTTCGTGAATAAATATTTACTGCACTGCAAAAATTCAAAGATACGTTTGTTGTTTTGTAGTTTATTTAGATTACAATTATACTATTTTTGGAATGACCCATGAAATTCCTTTATTATAGTGTGTAATGTTAAACTAACCAATGAAAACACTACATTAATACAGTTCTTCCCTGCGAACTTTACAGAAAGTAAAACCGATCTCAGATAACCTTCGAAGTGTAGATGGATTTCGTAAGCATGAGGTCTTTTAGAAAGTACTTTAAATGAACAAAAAAGTTTTACTCTTTCCTAGTTACTGTAGCAAAAAGCGCTGAGAATGGTTTCCTTGAACGGCTTTCAGCGTTATTCATTCTTGCTGATGAACGGCTAATGTTATCATTAAAAAAAGAGGCGAGCGGCTGATGACGTTACTAAAATTTTGACGATTCTCAAACTAAAATACCCTATAACTTTAACAGAAAAGTATTTTTGAAGGTATGGTCTGGAATATTTAATGACGAAATGTTGACGTTTACGAATCGTATGATTATAGGATTTATTATCATGAGAAAATATAAGTTATTGTGTCTTTAAAAAATGCCGCATCTCATCGGATAGTGGGATTATTTTCAGTCAAAATTCACGTGAAGTAAAGCTTGCACGTGACCAAAAATGTGTTGGCATGCTCCTCATGATGTTGACCATGTATCCATGCATCGATTTACTCGAACTAAGTTGGGATATGTTAAAAATAGATGAATCCTTACCGTCCGTCAATTGTGTTTTCTGCACCGACATGTATATACTCGTACGGCTGTCGACGCTTGAACGGCTGTCTGTCCATTTGATTGGACGGTGGGCTTATATTTACTTCTAGCATTATTTTTGCAACAATAATCTTATTATCTTTTAGTCAAATATAAAACTACTTATACAACAAGATTCAACGAAGGTCATATTAATTATAATCTTGACCATTTTATACAATTGTTTTATTCCATATGCTGTTATTTAATGCTATTTTCAAATGCCGGTTTACAGATGATGTTGAAAATTTTCATGATTCGATCGACATGTTTTCCCGTTTGAAACCATTTTACTCGCATGAACCAAGTGTGTAACCACTTCACGTCCTGCCCCATGACTTCATGACAATGCCACGTACACTATGTAATTTCGGTTAGATTTTTCTTCTTGAAAAGCTTGATATACTTTTTCAACGAATTGATAGATTAAATAAATACTCACAGAAGCATTTCTATTATAAACACACAGAATCATTTGTATTATAAACACTGATAAAATACGTTTCTTGTAAATATTTTCTGTCACTAGCCTTTTGAAAACATTACGCTGACCACAAACATTATTTTTGAATACTTTTGTGGCTTTCTCTATTTCCAAACTTAAGATTCCTAAAAATTGAAGAATATACCCTTCCTTCAAAAGGTCAATTTTCGTTAAAAGAATATCATGTTTTTTCATTAAGGTAAATTGGACCTGAAGAAAACCAAATGAAAACAAAACAATGACTAACCAAGTTTTGAAATTATAACCATTTTCAGCATGACTTGCATTTACGTACCATGTAACTTTTAAACCGTGCATGTACTTTAGTCTTAGAAATTGATGCGTGGGGGTGTACGGGGTGTAGGTCACAGTCTGGTACGAGCCTTTGCTAGTGGTAAAATATAAACCACGATTGTGAAATTGTTCAAGAATGCGTACACATGTAAACAGATGTTTAAATAAATGGGAAAGCTAGACAAAGTCATTAAATTATGCGCTTGACTCAAATTAAAATTGTTTAGCGGTAAATACGGATACTTGATACGTTATTGGGGAGAGGGTTACCTGGTTTATTAATTATTATGAAATAGAATGTTTGCGGATGGAGTAGGTGGAATCGGTTGTATCTTGTTTCGCCATAAATCTCCATATACGACTTAATACGACCATAAAGTTTCAAAATAAAACATGCATGTAATCAAATCTCTCCGTGTTTCTAGTTTTTATTCTTCAGACAATTAAAATCTTAATTAATTATCTGGTATTAAGAAAAATTAAGAAAAAGAATAAAATGAAATAACAAAAGTTTACAATTTTTATTCACTTTAAACATGCATTTGATTCTATTGCAAAGACTTGAGCACTATATGCAGTGTTTAGAATGCCGAATACGAATTGTTAATAATACACTCCCATTGTATGCATGTTCGTTCGAGAATGAATATCCACACTCTTATAATAAATAACTGTCATATTAAACATACATTTGTATATTAACATTAAGTTCTTTATCATAACACTATATTTTTGCTTAGCACTTTTTAAACATGAAGTTCTCTGAGCAATTTTTCCATTGCTGGACATAAATATTTTCAACGAATTCCCCCAATGCCTACACATGAAAATACTCCTTAATAATTCACGATAAGTCACGATTACATGGCAAGATGACACTAAATATTTTTTTTTATATTTATCACATTGCACTATAATATTTACCCGAAATAAACGTTCAGTTCTGACTTAAAGCGTCCATCTGTCAAATGAGGCAATGAACGGGGATTTTTTCTTTTTATTTTAAAGCAGCATGATTCCAGATTCGACACTGACATTTATACCTTTAAAAGAAGTTTGTTAAGCAATTGAAAAAACTTGTTAACTGTACACATAAAGTGATTTTGTCGTGCATATTATTTTTACTTTCAAATTAAATTATCTATGTGCAAAATCATGCAAATGGTTGACCTTTAATTTGTTACTAAAGGGGTATAGTTATAAAAAAATGGCATAAAACATGTCAACTTCCATACCGATTATAAATATATGGTGCATTTTTCTTCTTCAATATTTCAACTTTTTTATATATTTTAAAATATGTCTTTATTTGCTTCTTTTTTTTCTTAACTGGAGATGTGCAGCTTTAAATAACAAGACGCTTCAAAATTCCCGTATCATCAACAATTTTCAATTATGTCGCTCGAGTTGACATGACATTACTAAAAACGCACCTTGTTCTTGAGTCAATAATTACGAATCATGGTTATTATTTTAAACATGATACCTTTAGCATCACAAGCTTCATTTAACTCTGGTATAAATATAAACCCTGGTCAGGTTGTCCTTATGTTATTAGTATTGACTCATGTAAAGTGAAATACCATCTACTCGCAAAAAAGACAAAAAATATATTTCGAATCGTCACTATGTTCTTGGTGCAGACGATGAAACTAGATTTTGTTTGGAAGATAGCTCTAATAGTGACACTTCTACCCACTGTAATGTCAAGACCGTCAGTCAAGAGAAGCGTAAGTAACTTTTCTCCTTCTTCTTCTGCTTCTTATTATAATTATCATTATTATGATTATAATTATTATTATTATTATTATTATTATTATTATTATTATTATAAAAAAGTGTGTGTATCTAACGCTCTCGAATGCAGATACGAGGTATGCGTATATAGTTATAAGGGTTTTCATAGTCTTTAAATACGATGAAATTACAATGATATTGGCCACTTCTTTTGTAGAGACTTTTTCATGTTTTATTAAACAACCATGTATATAATGCTTTAAAACATGTCAAAAGCTCTTTACGATTGTTTATTTATAGTTATGGGATAATTACATTTGATTAAAACTAGAAATTATCGCATAAATTTGCAGCGTCCGTGTATAAATTAAAGATCATACAAAACTTGCGATTATTGGAAGAAAATTAACGGTACAAACATGTATTAATGTAGGTTATTCAGATGAGTAAAACACGATTTAAAAAAGCTTTAAAATAAATAAAAAATTGATTCCCAACTCTTTTGGATCATAAATGGATTAAGCAGAATAACTATCAACTATAACTTCCGACCAAAGCATCAGCAGATCTTTTTGATCCTTTAATGCTGTTTAAGAAAATAAATGCGTTCGACAATTTGAAAAAACATCTAACGCTCTTTCTTGAAATGCCGAAAGGAATACTTTCAAAGTAAGAATAAAACGATCAAAAATATACAATTTTAAAAAAGAGTTATTTATGTTCTTTCTTTCATCATACAGTCCAGTGACATGTTCATAGGGAAAAGTATGCCAGTTCTTAAGGAGAGTATTGAGAGAGGCCCAGTGTTCCAGGCCGCCATGAACAAGTTCCTTTTTAACAAAGAGCATGCAGTACTCAGGAGAATGTTAAAACTTGCTATAATGATTGCCGATAACGAACACGCAGACAATGAAGAGTCCGAAGTTTTGGGAAATTTGAATACATCCGACATGCCGTTTTACTTTGACTTCATTAAATCATTAGTGAACGGCAAAACTATGAAACGTCGCAGTCATACGAGACGAGGCTCGTTCGACTCAATCGGACACCGAGCAAGCGGACTCGGTGGCCTGGGTGGATCATATACTGGAAGAAAGGTTGAGGAGTATTCACTGGAACAATTACTTCCATTCATTATTGCGGAACTGAGGAAGACTAATAAATTCGGTGCGTCGGAATTTTACTTTTAATAGATGGTCATGAAGAAACGGTCATTTATAATTTTCAAACGAAACGGATGTTTTAGTATTTCATAATGAAAACAAGCTTACATTGAATCTGACATTCGTTCAGGCTCTAGAACAGATTTTATAATCAAGTATTAAAATCTACATGCGTAGAAATGTTAGTTCTTAGTAATTTACTTAATCAAACGACAATCATGAAAATTCTGGAAAGGGGATTTAATTCGAAACCAATTGGAAAAAAAAGTGATTATTGAAAATCGCAGACGCCGTTTTGTGGAGTCTAGGGAGACGAGACCTAATGGAAGTGCAGCTCTCTCATGCCCCGTAGCACCGCCCATGGCGATTTTCTATCACTATAATTATTTCTAGACTCAATGAAGACATTTATTATGTTACCAGCACAGTAATTGTAACTTTGCAATGTATTTA